GTCCCTGCAAGCAGAGCCATGGCCAAGGCTGAGTCACACACACAGACACAATGGGGCCCAGTGTAATAAGTCAGACAATCCACACTCAGTGTGAGGCCACGCCTGCCAGCGTGGCTCCATGGTTGAACATCAACCTATGAACCAGGAGATCACAGTTTGATTCCCTGTCAAGGCACGTGCCCGGGTTGTGGGCTTGATCCCCAGTGTGGGGCGTGCAGGAGGCAGCCGATCCATGATTCTCTCTCATCACTGATGTTTCTCTCTCTCTCCCTCTCCCTTCCTCTCTGAAATCAATAAAGTAGATATAAAAGAATGTGAGGTCAGAGCTCCCCAGTGCTGGAGACATCCACGTAGAGGCCGGATGAGCACTGGCGGGCATTTGGCCTGGACAACCTCTAATGTGCCCACCAATTAAAGAGCCTGTGCTGGCGGCCAGGGGAAGGGCACGGGCATGAGTGTTGGTAGGTCTGTCCCACACCCAAGCAGAGGCTGGATGAGCACGGGGGGCGTTTGGCCTGGACAACCTCTAACGTGCCCACCAATTAAAGAGCCTGTGCTGGCGGCCGGGGGAAGGGCACGGGCATGAGTGTTGGTAGGTCTGTCCTAGAGGCCCTGGGCTCCGAGGGGCCCACAAGCCCAAAGAAAATAATCTCATTCCCGCTACAGAGTCATCTGTTTGGGTGGCACCTGCAAGGCCCCTGGCACAGCGGGAACCAGGACAAGGGGAACCTCTGGCCACAGCAGTGAGGAGACCCGGCCCCTGAATGTCTCCTGAGCTTGGTGTCCATGGAGCTGCACATGTGTCATGTGCTCTGTTCATGGGGACAGTCAGCGCCATAAAACCACGGGCTCCAGAATCCGAGGGGGAAGCAGCCGGAGGTCACTGACCCACATCCACCACCTGTCGTGAAAAGTGTTAGTGGCAGCAGGTTCTCGTCCTGAAAAGGCAGCTGGTCTGCCCTTGCTGGACACAGTCCTGACCTTGAACTGAGGTCTGTCTCTGCACCCTTGTGTGACTCTCAGCCCCATTCGCCTTATTTCCACACGGGTGAGCACTCTGCGCTGCTTTAGCCGTCTATCATTTAGCAAGCTAATCCCTCGCTCAAGCTCTCTCGGGCTTGTCAGTGACCCCGTAAAAGGAATCATTTAAAATTAGGCCAAATATCCCGAATGTGCTCTGAGCGATGCAAAAACTAACGGAACTGCAATCAGATGAGACCTTCTCCCACGCACCTTTGTAAGGTTACAGCAGCCCATGTTCTCTGGGGGGGGGGGGGGGGCGCGGGCGGGGTGTCATCATCATAAGTAGCTGGTTTATTAATATTAATAAAGGAAGAGAGCAAGGGGAGGTCAGACATCATAAGCATGGTCATCTGGGCAGCTTCACCAGGAAGCGACAGCTTCTGCTCCCCAGGGAACCCCCTCCATTCCCTGCAGATCCCTGAGGGAAGGCATGGAACAAAGGGGGAGATGGGTGCATGCCCAGTGAAGTCGGGGTGACGTAGAGAAGGCGCTTGCCTGTCAGCCTGACCTGGGGATCCATGGACTGGCCAGGAGGGTGGAGCCCCTGCACACATGAGAAATCTTGGAAAGTCCAAGTCCCCAGACAGAGCTCCCTCTCCTGCTCCGTGACCCACACTCACCCCTGCGCTCGCCTGTTCACTCTCCAGAGCCGTGTGGCCTCAAGCAGCTGCGGGGCCACGGCCGTGTGGACCCCACAGGCAATGGGAGGGAACAAAGCCGGCTAGCAGGTGCTGGACTGGGTGCGCGGAGGACAAGACTGGACTTCCTCCATGGTGGGAAGGACAGAAATAGGAGCTTGGAGGGGAACCCCCTGAATTTGCATCATCAATAAAGCTTTCCATGAAGCCCCATCCTCCCGTGGGGGTCTCAGGAGCTGCACCCCCACCATTAACGATGACAGTTCTATCGTTGCAACATTCCCGTTGGTTCCTGTGGACTATGGTCAGCTAAAGCTCCGGGGAAATTCCACCACGCAGGCCCCTTCCACGGAATCACCCCTGAATTCTGGAACCCGGCGGTCAGATTCCATCCTGCCATTTGTCGGCTGCCAGACTCTGTGAGCACTGAGCTGTCCGCAGCCACCCAGCATTCCCTGCCTATGAATCGGATAAACCCACTTTCTGCCTCTTCATCCAAGTCACCAATAAAAATGTTAAAGATGGCCCGGCCGGCCGGCGTGGCTCAGTGGTTGAGCCTCGACCTCTGAACCTGGAGGACATGGTTTGATTCCCGGTCAGGGTGTATGCCAGTTGAGGGCTCGATCCCCAGGAGGGGGTGTGCAGGAGGCAGCCAATCAAGGATTCTCATCACTGATGTTTCTATCCCTCTCCCTTCCTCTCTGATATCAATAAAAAAGTATTTTTAAAAAATGTTAAAGATGACAGGTCATTCGATCATTCCCTCCACAAGTATTTGTCGAGCACCTACCATAGGAGAGGTGCTCAGGACAGGAGCGAGAGGAGAAATTGTGTGTGGACAGGGACAGATCCCCAAATCTAAACACTTAAGATCAGGTGGACGTCTCCTGGGAGATTTCATTGACTCATAAGGGACTCGCTGCTCACGCCCGCTCCTCCTGCTCACACCCTCTCCTCCTGCTCACACCCTCTCCTCCTGCTCACGCCCTCTCCTCCTGCTCACGCCTTCTCCTCTAGTCAGAGTGAGACAGTCCCTAACATGCAGGTTTTTCCATAGCCCCTGCCCTGGGGATCCCCAATCTAAGTGGGGAGACACAGGACCTGCCTTCAGAAAGCACTCAGTCCAGTGGGTGACACATAGCCCTGAGATCTTCAGTCTGAACAGAGTCATAGGCCCTGTCCTGGGGACCTCCTAGTTCAATGGAAGAAGATTAGTCTGATGGGAAAGACAGTCCCTGCCCTAGGGGAGTTTGCAGCCGCTATAAATCCTCTTCTCTAAGCCTCTTCCTGACCTTCAGCCCCCAACCCACAGCCCTCTCGTCATGCCCCAGCCTTGACTCTGCCTTTGGTTTGCAGCTCCGGAAGTGTTGGCCCAGAAACCCTACAGCAAAGCTGTGGATTGCTGGTCCATTGGCGTCATCACTTACATATTGTGAGTAGAATCTGTCATTGGCTCAGCCTCCTGCTCCCCTCTCCTCCTGCTCACCCCCTCTTCTCCTGTGCCTTCTCCTCCTGCTCACGCCCTCTCCTCCTGCTCACACCCTCTCCTCCTGCGCCCTCTCTGCCTGGGCTCCTGGAAGGGCAAAGGAAGGGAGCTGCTCCAGAGGCGTCTGCTGTCAGTGAGTTGGGCTTGGCGCACAGCACATTTTATAATGCAAGACAGGCAAGATGCATATAATTGACAAAGCGCGGGCAAAGGTAATATATTTGATTTTGTTTGCGACTTTACTGTCACCATTTAAAGCTGCACCAACAGTGAGATTTAGAGCTGAAAGGCACCTGGGACTCTTCTAGAACCAGCCCCCGCCCCCACCAGCAGTGGTTTCCACAGCTGGGTCCTTCTCCCGAGGAGCCCCCTCTGTTAGTCCCGATCACTAGAAGGACTTGGGACGTCCCCCACGTTGAGTCAGGCTGCTCTCCTTTGCTGTTTACCTACAGTGTAAGCGCTCGGTGGCTTAAATACTTGAACATGTGATGTCTAGTTCTGCAGCTGGGAACAAGCTAAGCTAGCCGGCTGCCTTGAGAGAGTGATTGGCTTGTTAAGTCCTGCTTACTGAAACTAGAGGAAAAATAGGTCTGAGCCCGCCTTTGGAAGGCAGTTATGTGCTCACTTAGTCCTTACTTTTCTAGCCGAAATACGGTATCTATAACTCCTTCGTGGCTGTGGCTTGGAGACCTCCCACCCCCACCACTCTGGTCATTCGTGTCCTGCCCGCCCCTGGCCTCAGCATTCAGGTGTGGCTGCTGACTGCGTGAGTGTCCGGAAAGCTCCAGTGTGTCCATCGCGGCCGCAAGAAGAGGTGTGCAGAGGCGGACGCGGCTGGACCCGTGGCGGGGAAGGCGCCACACCTCGGTGCCACTTGCATCCAGCTGTTCTTCCTGTCTTTGCGCCCGGGGGTGGGAGGCAGGAATACACGAACGCCTCCTACTGAGTTTGTAGCCCATTAAAACCTGCAATTGGATAGCTCAGTGATCGAGGCCCACACCTGTGTGCCAGCTGGGACCCCGGCATCTACTTCCACATGAGAAAGGGTGGTGACCCCTGGGTGTGCACGTCTTTTTAAGCCCTTGGGGTATTCAAAGATTTTGCAATATTCTGGGGAGGAGGCCCAAGTGGGAGGCTCACCAAGGTGCCCAGAGGAAAAGACAGGCGAGCGGGCCTCCTTCCACCGAGTGGGGGCCACAGAGCTCGGCTTAGATGAGCAGACAAGGCTGAACAGAGTTGGCAATGAAGCAGGCGGACCACGGCCCCCTCCCATCCCTCCCTGGAAGAGCATCCCGTGCCCACACCAGGCAGGGCCCCTGGTGCCCAGGGGCTCCGTCTTCTGGATTTGGGGTCCGAGCTTTTAAGTTGCCTCGGCAGACGTGAAAGGAGCTGGTAGGGCTGGGCATGCCTTCTGTGCGTGGGCCACTCCCAGGGAAAGAGCCAGCCCCGGAACTGCTGCCCCTCAAACTGGACCCCCGAGGGTGCGCATGGAGGGGACCTGAGCCGGGGCCGCGGCCTGAGTTGAGCCAGGTGGGTGCAGGCGCCGGACACCGCCAGCCTGGAGCAGTCACTCCACTAACCAGAGCCTGTGAGCGTGTGAATGAGTGTCTACGGTGGGCGCTGTGGAATCGGGGTCATTTGTTACCTGGCACATCGTGGCCATCCTGACTGTACAGAGATCACTCCCAGCTACAGGGCAAGTTCCCGGAAGCACAGAGCTGCCTTCCATGGGCCAGGCCGCCTGGTGGCTGGCCCCCCAGGAAGG